AAAGACAGAGTTTGCAAGCTTGGTAGTTGATTAAATGTCCTTTGACCAGTATCTGGCCACTTGGAGTGCCTCTGGTGTTGCCGCAAGAAGGTCCTCCATTGTGCATGTAGCAGGGCTCAGGTTGCACTGCAGCAGGTGGTCTGTAGTTTGCTCTTCTCCACACTCGCATGTCGTGGATTCCACTTTGTAGCCCCATTTCTTAAGTGGCTCTGCATCTCGTGGTGCCAGAGCGCAGTCTGTTCAGCGCCTTGTTGGCTCTGCATCTCGTGGTGCCAGAGCGCAGTCTATTCAGCGCCTTCCAAGTCACCCAGTCCTCTGTGTGCCCAGGGGGGAGTCTCTCATTTGGTATCAGCCATCGATTGAGGCTCTGGGTTTGAGCTTGCCAGGTTTGGACTCTCGCTTGCTGAGGTGTTCCAGCGAGTGTCTCTGTAGATCTTAGAAAACTATTTCTAGATTTAAGTCGTTGACGTGCTGGCTGATACCCAAACAAGGGATGAGCTGGAGATGTCACTGCCTTGGTCCTTTCACTATTGGCTGCTACTTCCCGGCGGATGTCAGGTGGTGCAATACCAGCTAAGCAGTGTAATTTCTCCAGTGGTGTAGGGCGCAGACACCCCGTGATAATGCGGCATGTCTCATTAAGAGCCACATCCACTGTTTTAGTGTGGTGAGATGTGTCCACACTGGGCTTGCGTACTCAGCACCAGAGTAGCACAGTGCAAGGACAGATGTCTTCACTGTATCTAGTTGTGATCCCCAGGTTGTGCCAGTCAGCTTTCATATGATATTGTTTCTAGCACCCACTTTTTGCTTGATGTTCAGGCAGTGCTTCTTGTAGGTCAGAGCACAGTCCAGAGTGACTCCCAGGTACTTGGGTGCGCTGCAATGCTCCAGTGAGGATTCCTTCCCAGGTGATCCTCAGAGCTCGGGATGCTTGTCTGTTCTTGAGATGAAAAGCACATGTCTGTGTTTTAGATGGGTTGGGGATCAGCTGGTTTTCCCTGTAATAGGCAGTAAGAGCACCTAGAGCTTCGGAAAGCTTCTGTTCTACCATCTCAAAGCTCCCTGCTTGAGCAGTAATGGCACGATCATCAGCATAGATGAAACTTTCTGTCCCTTCTGGCATTGGCTTATCCCCATGCTAAGTCTATGAGATGCAAAAAATTAAGAGTCCCTCCCTGGAAGCACTATCTCAAGCAAATATTGACAATTTATTCACACTGTCATTACTTGCAGCCATAGCCGATGTAGCAAAGCAACCATGTTGGGGGGGGGGTGTTGAATGCTCTCATTAAGGAGGCCAGACTTGGTGGAGGTGGTTGACAGGGGCGGAGCTGCAGGCTATTGAAGGCTGCTCTGCCCCCCGCTGTGCTCTTTGCTTCAGCATGACCTAAGAGGCAGGTTTCAACTCTCTCCCCCCCCCAATTTTTTTAACCCCCCCCAAAAAAATTTCAAAACTCCCCCCCCCCAAATTTTCAACCCTCCCCGAAATTTTTTTCTGGCTACGGCCCTGCTTGTGGCCCTATTAGGCAAACAAGACAACACTGGCCATGCCATCAATTTCAATTGTAACATTGCTACTGGCGGCTCTCAGTGCCAAGAACTATATCCCATGAGTCAGTCTTAGGTTATGTCCCATAAAGCAAAGCAGGCCCGTGAAAACACTACTAAACACAACTGGGGAAAAGGCAAAATGTTGCAGAACATGTAATGAAGGAACTGCATTGGCATTATTTGCCACAAGCCCAGGTAGAACTACCTTTGTTAAACTTGGACCACAAGATTATTTCATGGTGCAGATTCCCCCAAGGTGCATTTTGTGGTTTTGATATCAGAAGTGAGACCTGTGATGATCTGGTGAAGTTAGGCCATGCAACTCCTGCCTCTCACTCACTAGAAGTTCAATTCATGTGATACTCTGCTTCATATTGCCAATATGTCTCTAAGCCACAGTATCGGATTGGTCTCTTTTGCTTCATACTGATCAGCAGGCAAGTACCAACCTCGATCATGGCATTGTCACTTGGTGCCATTCAGTGTGCAAGGACAGTGACACCCACAGGATGACCATTGTGACTGATGACCTTACTCTCTTGAGTCCAGATTCTTTATTCTCAAGGATTTGTGGTGCTACTTAGAATGACGGCTTCCTGAGCAGCTTATGCTACTGCTATTCCCTTAGACGTCACCACTCACCATGCTATCATTTTCTTTCCTGCTCTTAATCATGTCTTTATCTCCATGACTGCTCTATCTCCATGGTGCTTCTAAGACAACCTCCTGTGATTCTCCCTAGGGCACTCTCCATGATATTGATACTGCATCTTCCTTCCGCTTCAACGTCCAGGATGCTTACACAAGTCACTGACCGAGAATTGCTAACATCCCTATAGCTACCACTGACCCATCTATGACCCCTACTACTCACACCATAGCACCAACAACTGGACCGATCACCAATGTTCCTGCTCATGATGTTGTATCAGTGCTACCACCAGTGATGCTCTACATACGAATAGATATTGGAGGCTGATTCCAGCACAGCTTCCACCCCTCTTTCTCTTCAGCAGTTCAGCTCTCATGCTGATGTGCTGATATAGTTTTTGAGAGCCCCACACCTTGAACACTACAAGACCAATTCGGACTTGTCTATTTGAATAGCAATATGCTTTCAGGTGACCTAGAAACAGGAAAAACCCAGTTTATGACTGCAGGTCCGTCCCCGCCACCTTATTGTCCAGTCCATTGCCAATGCACTGGTATCCCTACCTGGCACCTCTCTTCACATGGGTGTAAGCTGTATGGAACAAGCTAGTTTCAACACAACAAAATGTTGCCTTGTATTGCAAGAAACGCTTCTATCAGATACAAGATTGTAACCAATACTTCTTCTTCCATCACAAAGAGGTGAACTTGGTTACAATATTATGTACCAAAGATGAGAAGCCCAAAACGTGGGCAGAAAACTAGATGATGTACAAGACCAAATGTAGTCTATTTAATCACTGTGGTGAATTAGCAGATCTACCTCAGCAGAAACTAGGTGTTCTGTTTGGATAAAGTCACACAACTCACTGTACATACCCTCAGCAGCACACCCTTCACTCCCTTTTATTCTACCTCAGTTTTAGCCAGTGTACTGAGGAAATGGCACATGTCAGAAATAATAATAATAATAATAGTAATAGTAATAATAGTAATAATCTTTATTTATACCCCACCACCATCTCCCCAATGGGGACTCGGGGCAGCTTACATGAGGCCAAGCCCGGACAACATATTACAGCAAAATAAAACCAAAACATAAGCAATAGCATCAAAATTACATTAAAAAACATATAAATACAGTAACAAAATAACATTATAATAAACACAATCACAATGACAGTGGGAAGGCCACATGTGCAGTATAAAATGTTTAAAAACTCAAATGAGATAAGATGAGGAGCAAGTTATTTGCAGGGAGCTCATAAGGAAACACAGGGTTGTGAAACCAAACTTCCCATTAGGGAGGCATGTACTCTAGTGACAGAAGCGTTGAGCAGTAGTGTCATGTTGTATACTTACTCGCCAAAGGCGCAGCAGAAAAGCCAGGTTTTAAGGTTCTTTTTAAAAGTTTCTAGTGTAGGGGCTTTCCTGATCTCTCCAGGTATTGAGTACCAGAGGCGGGGAGCCACAGAGGAGAAGGCTCTCTCCCTTGTGCCCACAAGATGAGCTTGTGAGAGTGGCTGGGGCGAAAGGAGGGCCTCCCCAGAAGATCGAAGGGCTTGGGTTGGTTCATGGAGAGATAAACACTTTAGAAGGGGGTGGATGCAAGATTATCAAAAACAAATTTGTTTACCAAAACTGAGCTACCTGGGAGGTCAATCAGATCGACTCCTCTGTGTTATTGGAGATTTTTCATATATGTATGCAAAGAATCTCAGTTACAGAGAAGCTATTTTCTTTTTCCTTGAGCTTCATCTTGGCACTTAGCAAATGCTAAATCCTGTAGCCAAATCCATTGAGCTGAAGACGGAATTATAAAGGGAAACAGACTATTTTTTTAATCCTCTTCTCCTTGTCTGGCATAGTTGAAAACTACCCACAGCTTGTTTTCCTAAGACCATAATAACTACTGTAGGTTATGGATGCAAACATGTTTGCATGTATTAAGTCTCTTTTTTTTCCTTTCCCAACAATAATTTTATTTACATGTCAAAATGAGTTCTTCCAATATTTTTGCAACACCACAATTTGTTAGAGTGGATCTGCATTGCCTGAGAAAATGGTCCTCTGTCAACAGGGAGGGCAGTTCTCCTTTGCAAGAGGAAGTCTGAAAAAGAACAGTTAGCACTTCACTAAGGAGGAGACATGGGCTGGGGCTTCTGAAGATAGGACATCACTACAGCAGAGATAGACAACATGAAGCTGCTCATCATGTGTTCGGTGTCTTCTGAGCTTCTAGAGCTGGCAAAGCTGATGAACGAACAGTAGACAGCAATCCAGGCGCATCACTTTAACTTCAACATTAAGCCACACATACTAAAAATCATTCCCAAAAGATTAATGTAGTCATATGTAGGGTCTCCCAGGGTTGGGTTGTTTTCCATGGATGGAGGCTTGTATTGCACTGTGTTTTAATCTGTGTTTTTTTCAGGCTTGCCCCTTGTAAGCCACCCCGAGTCCATTATTGATGACTTAATTTCCCAGACATATCACAAAACCAGCAAGGAAAAACAACCACTGTGTGTATAGGTTTTTAAAAAATAGCATGTTATAGTTGAGATAGAAATAATATCAGACTTTTAGAAAAAACACAAGCAGCAAAGAGATTTTAACTGGCAGCTGATGACTCCTGAACCAGCACCAGTCCATGGACCGCCACTTTAACAAGTACTGTGTTAGGTGATACATCAGAAAAACTGTTAAAGATACGTACTGTTTCACGCTGTGTTAAGCATTTTGTTTTTGGTATGTGAGTAACATTTAATACAGGTGCGTTTTTGTTTATTTTGCAGATAAACCGCTTTAACAAAGTCGAAGATAGAGCAGTTTTTATCACCGACAGACACCTGTACAAGATGGACCCTACAAAGAACTACAAAGTGATGAAAACCATTCCACTGTATAATGTAAGTATTATTGCTAACGTTAGCACTGTGGAGACCTAACTTGCAAAATATTTGCCCAGAATTCTGTGAAACTCACAAGGTTATCATAACTATGTCGCTTTTTAAAAATAATATTGCATTATGGAAGGATGAGAGAGTCAGTAGGTTTTTGCTGGTTCAGCTTCCACTTCCAGCGTGTGTAGACAGAACACGATACTGTTCAGCCACAGGGAGAGGAAGAGACAGTTAGGGATTGTGGGGGTGGTCCCCATTGAGCCTCAGAACATTTTGTTTTTCCTCCCCTCCATTCTGCACTCCTCCTGGGGTTCTTTAAAGATCAAACTCATCTTTATGCTACAAATACGCACTTCCAATTGACTCCTTGCTTATTTCCTAGTTGTTTTTAAGCCTCTTCTGAGTTTAGAGCTATAAAGCTGCCTATCTGCCTAACCGCCTCCTCCCTTATGAGGCCACACGGTCCTTAAGATCTTCTGGGGGTGCCCTTCTCTCGCTCCCACCCCCGTCTCAGGCATGGTTGGTGGGGCAAGAGGGGGGGCATTCTCGGTGGTGGCCCCCTGTCTCTGGAACTCCCTCCCCAGGGAGATTAGGCTGGCACCCTCCCTAGCCACATTCCATAAGGAATTAAAGACGTGGATGTTTTGTCGTACTTTCGATTGACGACTCCTATGACAAATGGCCTGTATCATGACTTGAATTGCCATTCAATCTGATGTCCTATATTATATTAACTGATCCTGTTAATTTGCTCTGTTTCCATGATATTTCCTATGCCGTTATACATTGTTATCCACCTTACTAAACAACTTTATCCTTTAACTAGTTCACGTAGTGGTTTTCCTCCCCCCCTCCAGAATTAATCTGCTATTATTGTTGTTGCTAGCTATTTTTGTTACGTTGTTTTACACTGTTTTATGCTGTTTTAATTGTTATTGCTTTATTTTAATTGTATTCTGCCTGGGCTTGGGCCCCATGTAAGCCACTCCGAGTCCCTTCGGGGAGGAGACGCGGTAGAAAAATAAAGTAGTAGTAGTAGTAGTAGTAGTAGTAGTAGTAGTAGTTCTTCTTCTTCTTCTTCTTGTATCTGTTAGGAGTAATAGCAGAATTGTCTACGATACTATCTAAAGGTATTTTTATTTTAAATAATTGAGGTTATGGGGACTCTTTGGGACAATGGTTCTCAATCTGTGGGTCTCTAGACATTTTGGCCTTCAACTCCCAGAAATCCTAACAGCTGGTAAACTGGTTGGGATTTCTGGGAGTTGTAAGCCAAAACACTGCTTTAGGGCCTCAAAAAATTGGAGGTGTGTAATTACAGGGTGCTGTCACCTTATTTCTAGCTAGCGAAAAACGAAGAGAGATTTTGGGGCTAAAGGTGCCAGTGTGGCTTGGGTAGTTTGGTTGAGGCTAAACCATGCAGGTCTAGACTACTTTTCCCTACATGAACATCCACTCTCAGAATCCCATTTGATTGTTGGAGAATAAGAAATATTTGAGATATACGCATTAGGGTTATGTTTATTTTCTTAACCTCAGTTAAATATGACTTAAGATGCAAGTATGCGTCCATGTCTTTGAAGTAAGTTACATTCATAAAAATAGATACCATTATGTTAAGATTGCTTGCCTATAATAAAAACTTTTCCTTTTAAATATCTCCTACTGTCTACACGCTTTCATTTTCCTTTGCATGGTTTTTGTGTGCAAGCACGCATAGTATAAAATGATCTTCTCCCTAAGGAGAGAGAAGGGAAATCTCTGTAGAGGCAGAAGTGGAGAAGTCCAAATGAAGCCTCAGCAACTCCTCATAGAGTTACTCAAAGGGGCTTAAAATCTGTGGGCGGTGGCAGCTAGACTAGATGATCTCTAGGAATGTCATTTCTTGTCAGAAGGAAGAGAAAAGTTCTTACACCTGACAAGCAATACGTTTTGCTGAACTGAAAGAAGTGACAGGTTTGCTTTGAAACTACTCTACAGTCTATCCCCAGTCTTGTCTTATTTTGGTCTTTTTAACTATCCATGTAGCTTTGTTTGATTTGTAGTCATTTTTTTACTGATTTCTTTTTCTGGTCACAAAGATAGGTATTCTCAAAGGCTGGTGTCAACAAAAGGAATAAAACAATTCTTTGATCAGTTCAGAGTTTGCCATATTCAGACACCATAGCATAAATATCAGTCACTTCCCATATTCACTGCTTCCCCTTTTTGGTTTGTTTTAGAACCTTATTTAAAATTCTAAACTTGGAGGTTTTAATGGGATTTTGTAACCTGTTTCAGCTTTAATAGTGTTTTGAATTCAGCAGTTTTAGTGGGTCTTAAATGTTTTATTGTTTTCTTTCTGCTTGAGTAACCTTTATAGGATGGCACAGAAATGTAAACATAAATAAATTGTCCTTTTGGCAGTGGCACATGAATAGTGGCTGCTTTGCAATTCTTTAAAACGCTATTGCCATGTGCTTACTTATGATGTTCACTGTTTTATTCTTCACATTCATATGTGGTAGATTTGGTTTCTGGGACATTGGGGAAACTGCAAGGAGATTACAAAGTCTTGCTGCAGGGATTTGTGTCAGTGAGGTCACAAAAACATTGGTGTTGAAAAGAATTGCTGCTATTCTTTTAAACAGATTTTTAAAGTGTATGTTTGTGTGTGAGAGAGAGAAGTGCCCAATGCTTAGAAGACAGTGGTGAGGAGAACACATTAGGAAGAACTTCCTGATAGTAAAAACTGTTTGACATTGGAATAGACTGGAATCATAGAATCAAAGAGTTGGAAGAGACCTCATGGGCCATCCAGTCCAACCCCCTGCCAAGAAGCAGGACTTATTTTATTTATTTACAGTATTTATATTCCGCCCTTTTCAGCCCGCAGGGGACTCAGAGTGGATTACAATGTACATACACATGGCAAACATTCAATGCCATAAACACACAACATAAATAGACAGACACACAGAGGCTATTTAACATTTTAAGCTTTTTCTTGAGGGTATTCTGACCACCAGGGGAGCTGTCGCTTCATTGTCCATTTGTGACACTGATTAAGTACTTCCTCATTCTTTGCATACTTGCTGGAGATTTTTATGGCGTCGTAAATTAGCCTTCCCGCAGAAGCAGTACCTAAATTTCTTACTTGACAGATGCAACTGTCTTTCGGGCTGTGAAGGTCAACAGCAAGCTACACAAATTGGTTGGAAGCTCACTCTGACCCGGGCTGGCTTCAAACTCATGACCTTTTGGTCAGTAGTGATCTTAATGCAGCTGACTCACAGCCATCTGCGGCACAGTCCCTTACTTGAAGGTTTATTAAACTATGATTAGATGGTCACTTCTCAGGATGACTGAGGAGTTCATTCATATATTGACCAAAGATAAGACTAAATGGAATCTGGAATGCCTTCACTTCTTAAGCATGTATATGGGAAAATCTTTTACACTCTTTTTGGCACTGCTATCCTGAAATTTTGTTTCACATCAGTCTTCTCAAATAAGCAAAGGTATTGCCAAGCAGCTAGTAAACATAGTGCTTTAGACTCAGTAGAGGAACAGTTCTTTTATTTTCATTGTGCAATAGTATTAAGGGGCTCCTTACTGGTATAAATATAAAAGGAACAAATGAGATGCAGTTAGTGCTGGAGAAAATTGCTTAGTTTGGCAAGTATCCTATCTCCAAAGTGAAACTGGGGTGAAACCAGATTTGAAAAACTCACCCAGATCCAAATCTTTGTCAGTCTATAGTCAACACCTATGGAACTCTTGTGTGAGCAAAGGATTAGCTTGCCCTTTCCCATGTTCTGAAGTAGAGAGGACTCAGTTCATACCAAACTCGATTAAAACCTTACTGCAGAGCTTTCCAAACAGTTCATGTTGGTGGCACTCTTTTTAGACATGCATCATTTCATGACACAGTAATTCAGGTTTACTAGCAAACCAGAGGCTAAACTAACCCCTTATTAGAGATACAGACACATACACACATTGTAATAGAAAATTTATGGGGACATAATATATCTCAGGAAAACCTTTCAGTTATGTTTAAACACAGGTGGTCTGTAAGTTACGAAGAAATCAGAACAGGTACATTTTTAAGTGTACCTGTGTGTATGTATATGTCTGTGTGTAGATAGATAGATAGATAGATAGATAGATAGATAGATAGATAGATAGATAGATAGATAGATAAACACACACACACACACACGTGTGTGTGTGTGCATTCTTTGGATAGCATAGGATTGGATGCGTTCGGACAAGTGAGCTGGGCCAGAACTGTATAGAGCTTTATAGGTCAAAACCAGCACTTTGAATTGGGCTCGGAGGTGGACCAGCAGCTAGTGGACCTGGCAAAGCAGGGAGGGTGGTATGCGTTGTAATGTATTTTGGGGGTGTGTGGCTTTTTAATTCTCTTCTGCTGTGTTTTTCAGTGTTTTTATGAGTGATGATCACTCGTTGGCCTGATAGGTGTATTCTGTCCAAATTTGGTGTCAATTCGTCCAGTGGTTTTTGAGTTATGTTCATCCCACAAACTAACATTACATTTTTATTTATATAGACTAGCCATCTCCTGCCATGCATTGCTGTGGCCCAGTCTGGTGATCTGGAAAATAAAGTAATGAGAAAGTGTTGGTTTCTAATATATGTAATTTCTTTATGCTTGTGGGTAAACAGTATTTCTTGTTGTTTCTTTGTCAGTGTTGATGTGGAGATTGTCTGGTTTGCCTACTCTGGAACATGGAACATATAATTGTCCTTCTTTAGGGGTCCCTTTAAAATCTTTGATACTATATCTCTGTGTGTGTGAATCATATATATCTATATCTATGGCTGGATGGCTCTTTGTCAGGAGGGCTTTGATTACGTTTTCTTGCCTTGGTGAAGGAAGTTGGACTGGATGGCCTTAAGTATTTTCTGTTGATCATGAGGGTTCTGTGTGGGAAATTTGCCCCAATTCTGTCATTTGTGGGGTTCAGAATGCTCTTTGATTGTGGGTGAACTATAAATCC